CATTACGCTTTTGCAGAGCGGACACAAACACAGCTTAACCTCCTCTATGGGATGTCGAATATAAACGGACGGCCTGTCCATTTACACCTGGCTGCCATCTGATCCACTAGTTGGATTGGGAACAGATCCCCATCCGTCTGTGTTTAATGGATCGGATTTTAGGTAGTCGGACATGTGTTGGTCCATAAAGGACAATGGAACATCCACCTGAAAAACTGACAGGCAGACCCGATCAGTCCGCTCATGTGAAAGGAGCCTTAGACTAATTGTGTTAGTCACTAACATATAGAATTACACAGAAAAACATATACACAGAGAAATCAAGATACAAAAGAAATGGGAATTCAAGGGCAAGGGACATCCAGGTGGAAATGTTAAACATCCAGGATGAAATTTGGAGAACATGGGGTTGACTGACTAAAGACAAACAGGCTGTTTATTTTGCAAGGGCATTTCCCCAGAGTTTAGTGAATGAGTTAGGCCTCATATACACCGGACACTTCTGAACGATGGAAACTGACTGCTGGAAAACATAGGTTAAAAAACGTATGTTTAGCCGCGTTTGCATAACGCGTTTATGCACATTTTTTAAAGATAAACACAGGAGAACCTCCCAAATGCCCAGAATGCACTGAAAAGTGGTAAATTATTACCTATTTCAGACTGTTTCAGAGAAATACAGAGAGTAGAAGCAGAGACAGCAGTATGTGTTGAGATTACCTTAGGTGTGAGTTGCTCAGTAACATTTCTTTTGTTTCCAAGGATGGGAAAGGTGTCTGGTGGAGCGAGTCATTAAGGTCACCTGGCAGGGGGTCTTCATGAGGAATTTGAGGTGTGAATGGTCATTAACATATCTTTTATTTTCAAGGGTGGGAAGGTCTGAGGTGTGAATTGGTCATTACAATGTGTGACAAGATTGGTGGGAACATCCTGTGTTAAGTGTTTTGTCCATCTGAGTACATTGAAAACGCTTTGCATGCATTTTTTCATGATTAAAAAAGGCTCTGGACAGCATCGGGAACTGGAAGAGTTGACAAAAAATTTTCAAAACGCAAAAGCTTTTAAACGCCATTTGCCGCATTTACAAGCGTTTTGCGTTTGAAACGCTGATAAAATCGACTGCTGAACACAAATTTCTGTGTTCAAAAAAACTACTGTAAACTCAAATGCCTGTAAACGACTGTAAATGAAGATGTGTACATGGACACAGGAAAACATTAGGATGAGTTCAGGGGCTGCTGAAATAAACACCTAAATGTGAGTTTATCAGCTGTAGTGTACATGAGCCCTTAAAGTTTAATTGTGCAAAGAATACCCAATAACATGCAAAACAATTACATAAAAAGAGCATTTTTGTTTGCACATGATTGGGTGATGGAAGTCAGCAGAGATTCACCTCATTAACTAAACTCTGATGGGAATTCCCTTGGCCAATACAACTTCCCTTGAAAAGCAAACAGTCTATTTGCTTTTTGTAAATCAACCCCAATCAGTACAGAGGGTGCCCCTGAAATTTTCATTTCCACGAGACATTTGACTGCAGTGAACTGCTAACAAAATCTCAATTTCTTAATAAGTCCAGAGTTCTCCTTTAAATGGCTTCACATTTTCCTCTATCTTCTCTATCTTTCCCTTGAAAGTAAATTATTCCCAGAAGGCTTTATTGAGCTCCGCCATTGGACTTTGGCACCTGCATATGTATTACGTTGATCCAGAGACAGAGAAAGCTCATTTATATTCCTCGGCAGTTTCCTACTGTGTTATAGAGCACTTGCATTTCTGCTGCCTTCTTCTGTTTTACTCTTATATTAAATGAGCTTGGGTTACATTTCACTGTGATGTTTTGTGCCTTTTCTAACTTGGAAGATGCCTAAGTGGGCTTTGCTTTTCTTTGAAGAAGCAGGCAGTAAATGAAACCTTGTATAATATTAAATTACATTTTTTCCCAGTTCTATTTTCTGGCAGGCAATGTGCATCATGTTTATGATCTGAAATTTGATGCAATTGTATTTATGAAAGAATGATGATATCCCTTAAAATGTAGACATCTTTGAATCTTATGCAAACGGTTTCATAAAAGGCTTTTTCAACAGATCTTTCGATATATGCTCTTAGAATATGTCCAAGTGAACACTTCTAAAACTCACAGAGCAATTTTTTTGCTATTTTTGGTGCACACTGATGGATAGAGCTTATATTAGTGCTCAATGATATATTTTCAAGTACAAACAGCAAACAGAAATGCAGACAAAAATGAAGTATGTAGCTTTTGTAATGGCTAAGGTGCCCATAAGAACCGAGAGCTCGGAACGCAAAGTACCCACACGTAAATGGATATCAATTGTTAAAGTGAATCTAGCATTAAAGTGTATGTAAACTCAAATCTATTTTCTGTATACTTGGCATCTATCAAATATATATCATTTTCTTATTTAAATATTTTTTTGTAACTGTAAGCTTCTTACTTAGAGATCAGCACCTACTATTGCAGACTGACAATGCTAAGCCGCTGACTTGCAACTGGCCACTCAGCTGCCTACCTGGTCTATCAGATAATCAGCCCAATGGCCAACTGAAAAGATGGCCAGCGGACAACACTACTGCTAATTGCAAGGCAATGGCTTAGCACTGTCAGTCTGCATTGGGAGGTGCTATTACTATTGATACATCGGTAATTTGATGCAGACTAGCCTACCCCGTTGAAGCTTCTCATTTTGTGACTTGCTAAAAAGTTACAATGTAAAGTTTAATAACTGGGGAGAGGAGACTAAGGAATTGCCTCCACCTGTCTGCAGCAGACTGATGGCATCATCTTAGCATAAGTAAATCATTGTACTGCAGCATACACCTCATTTAAAGTGATACTAAACCCTGGACCCTGCATCCACTCTATGTGGTCTCCCACAGTACACAGAACATGGAAATGCAATTATTTTAGTAAATATAAACTGCTAAATACCATTTCTCATCAGCAGTTAGAGCAGTCTTGTGACTTCAGCAGAGCACCGGTTAAAGCTTGTAGGAGGATTTTTCTTTCTGCTCTAGGAGGATGTGAAACCACTGACCCTCTGTCTGGACAGTGCTGATTGACCCTCCCAAGAAAAAAAAAAAAACCTTTCTAGAAATACACACCAAACTGAGTATGTGCATGTGACCACATGTTCAATCTGCATCAGGTGGTCATTTCAACAAGAGGAGGGTCAGAGAAGAAAGGATAAAACAGTCTTTTTACACAATGCAGAGGATTAACCCCTTAGGTTCCACAGTGAGTATAACAAGCATGCTTTACTGTATATACAGACTGATTTTACTGTTGTGGGTTTAGTAAAAACTTTAATGGTAAAACCATTTAATACAAACATGTAATATATCACAGCTTATCGGTCATTAGATGTGCTGGCTGCATTCCTTTTCTTTTTTTTTACCCTGTTTTTCTGTTATTTTCTCCTGGTAATTCTGCACTCCTAGGCGCCTTAACATTAAGCCTTTTTTTTGTATACCAGAGTTTGTTTAATGTTAGGTCTTCGTGGAGTGGGGGTCTTGCTGTTTAGTGCTGCCTTTTAATACAGTAAGGAGGAACAGCCATATATATTACACATGATGCAAGATTGAATGGTGGTTTATTTAGGCATGCTTCACTTTTTTCAGTTTGGATCTACATTGAGAACATTCTAATACAGAAGAAAGGTCAGGTTGACCTTTTACCCCTGGTTCACACATCCGTGTTCCTGCGGTCCGCGTTTTGCGCAGGCACGAGAGCCCATTCATTTGAATGGACTCCCGTGCCCCAGGACATGCAGGGAAGAAGTCCCTGCACTTCTGAAAACGCAGCCCGCATGGGAACCTCGGTTCCCAATACAGTTGCGATTTCCAGTGCGGGCAGCATGCCATTAGAATTAAAGGCACCCGCCCGTAGGTCCGCATTCTTCTGTGTGGGTGGTGCGGCTGCATGGATTTTTGTGCGGATCCGCAGCGGCACCACCCGCACAGATGTGAACCAAGCCTTAGGGTATGCAGCACATTTTCTGAATGCTGTAACCAAAAAATGTAGCACTTGGTGCCAATAAAGAAATGAGGGTAGCTGTACTAAGTAGTTGCCAGAATCACATGTGTATTCTTGTAGCAATGTCCATGTGCTTCTTGCAGCACCTTCCTCCAACCATGTCTTCTTATCTTCCTTTCTTAATAAGGAAAACAATTATTCCATTCAGCAAACTATGGTGTAGCAAGTGTTCTGCAAAAAGGTAAAAAGCTTTCAGTGTTTTCCGTTGAAAAAGCATTTTGCAAGAATTCCAATATTCCTGTTCCCAGCAATAGATGGAATCCCTGCGGGCGCACCACTAGTAATCCAGCACTGCAGTGGATGAACACCATCAATTACTACTTTTGCTTCTGTTGAGTCAATCAATTTAGTATCCATTCACAAATGTTTACATATGATGGGCAATATCCGGAGTTTCTCTCCATGAATGTAAGGATGTTGTTAAATGCCTTTTTTAGAGGCTTTCTTCTTAAAGCAACAAATTGGTTTGGTTTACTCCTTGCTAGAAGCCTGAATTATTATTGACTTATGGGGAGGTAAAGGTAGACTATGCTTTATGATTTTTTTTTTTTTACAGTAGCTGGATTTTACAGGAAACAGGATGGTAGTAATTATGATAAATGAGTGCTGAAATTATATATGGATCAGGGGCGGACTGACCATTCGAGGCACTTGGGCACTACGCGAGGGCCCGGAGTCAGTAGGGGGCCCCATGAAATGCCCCTGGTACCTTTTTATAGGGTTTTTTTTTGAGTGTGGACAAGGACACAGGGGCCCCATGATCCCTTATTGCCCGGGGCCCCATGAGTTGTCAGTCCGCCCCTGATATGGATGCAGCAACAACCATCCTGGATCCAGCTGGGTTATCAGTAAGATTTTTCATGTGGAAAGTGTAGTTACTTTACTGATATGTTTGAAAGAATGAATGGGTCCTATGTTGCAACCCTACTACACACCATCAAATGTGCATGTTTCCCACATGTGAATTCTGCACTTCGAAAATGTATTATGACTTTCATATGATACGTCCACAGCAGGGGCGGACTGACAACTCATGAGGCCTCCGGACAATTGGGGATCATTGGGCCCCTGTGTCCTTGCCCACACTCAAAACGCACCCAAAAAAGCCTATAAAAGGTACCAGGGGCATTTTATGGGGCTCCCTACTGACTCCGGGCCCTTTGGGCAGTGCCTGAATGCTCGAATGGTCAGTCCGCCCCTGGTCCACAGGTTTTCTCAAACTTTATCCCAATGCTCATTTGAGATAAAATAAACAAAATATAAAACTCCATTTGATGGCATTTCAAACCTTCCAGCAGTCTCTTAGTGAAAGAACAGTCCCAATTCTGGAGATGGGTTGGCATTTGTAAGTATTGTTCATGATATTGCTTGGCTGATTATAAAAAGCCGCTTGTCCAAAAGCAAAGTTTGAATTTATGACATGATTAAAAAGAAGACTCTCCTCGACGCTGTTATCAGCATTTGTTTTTCTGCTCCTAGAAGCTAGATAGTATTACCATATGTGTTCATGCACACTGCTTTAAGTTTTTATCATTTTTTGAGCTTCAGGTCTAGGAGCAGAAAAAAAATTGTTTTTGTAGAGTTTTTTGGAACATTTTTTCAACAAGAAAAAATGCTAAATGCTCTAAATGCTGCTAAACTCTACTAAAATGCCCCTAACAGCTATTTTCTAGCTTTTTTATTTTTTCCCTCTACATGTATTGTAAAAACACTAACGCTCCTGAACATTCCTAAATGCTTCTGAACGCTACTAAAATGCTACTATTACCAGCGCTTTTTATCTAGCATTTTTTTCCAGCATTTTTTTGAGTTTAAAAAAATGTTAGTGTGCATGGGGCCTAATCTCTTCTCATGCACCCAGAGACCCCTGAAACCTAAGATGCTCTATTATGCCAACTTCCATCTTTCTGTAACAACATACATTCCAGTTAAAGTACTTTTTATTCCTGTTCCCCCTGCATGTTATGATTTGTGACAGATCTTTTCTGAGAATTTTTTTTTTTTTTACTCTGTAAAAATGCTGCTTCCTGGGCTCCATTTTTAGTACTCATAGTCGGCATAGCTAAGTAACAGCCTCTCCTCAGGTGTCTTTACAAACACTTGTATGACAGAGGAAGACCAAGTATTTTACAAAGTGCTGATTGTAGAGAGCACTTTGTCTACATCTGATGACTTTTAACTGCACAGGTATATTTAGAAAACCCACATAACTGCTGTAACCATAAAATAGAGGTAAAACTATGATAATTGAGGTTGTTAGCACAATGTCATTAGTAAGACCTCATCTGAAATATGCAGTTCAGTTTTGGGTACCAATTCACAAAAAGAACATTGGGGAACTGGAGAAAGTACAGAGAAGGGCAACTAAACTGATAAGAGGCATGGAGGAGCTCAGCTATGAGGAAAGATTAGAGGAACTGAATTTATTCTCTCTAGAGAAGAGGAGATTAAGGGGGATATGATCAACATGTATAAATACATCAGTGGTTCATATAGTGAACTCAGTGTAGAGTTATTCACCCTGAGGTTATCACAGAGGACAAGGGGGCACTCTTTACGTCTGGAGGAAAAGAGATTTAATCTCCAAACACGGAAAGGTTTCTTCACAGTGAGAGCTGTGAGAATGTGGAATAGACTCCCTCAAGATTTGGTTCTGGTAAGCTCAGTGGATTGCTTCAAAAAAGGCCTGGATTCTTTCTTAGATACACAGAATATAACTGGATACTAACATTTATAGGTAAAGTTGATCCAGGGAATATCCAATTGCCTCTTGGGGGATCAGGAAGGAATTTTTTTCTCCTGCAGGAGCAAATTGGATCATGCTTTGCTAGGTATTTTGACTTCTTCTGGATCAACTGTGGGTATAAGATTATAACTTTTTTTTTTTTAATGGTTGAGCTGGATGGACTTTTGTCTTTTTTCAGCTAGACGAACTATGTAACTATGTAATGTCTTTCTTTCATATGTGCTGTATCTCTAATACTTCAGTGGCATGGTTGAGAATAGCAGCATAGCATCCTAGACACATAATTTTCTACGTTGTCATATATTTAAATATCCTGACTTTCTGTGTGCTTTTCCAGGTCAACAGATCATCATAAGAGCCAGGCATGTAACATGTTCACAGATCATTAATAGTAGTCTACAAATGTTTTTCATAATGGGTTTCTTATAATGACCACTACATCCTTGGCAGACGACACCAGAAGTCTTAAAAGCCATAGCTGCACTCTTGAGCATCTGAGGTATGAAACTAAATCCCAGCATGACTTCACCAAGTATAAATATACCCTCCAAAATTACAATTCCTGTCTCCGCACTGCCAAACAGTCATATTTTATCACTGTATTACCGCCCTCTCATGCAGTCCCCATCAACTCTTTTTCTACTTCTACTCTCTACTTCAACCAAATAAATAAATCCTTCACTGTCTCCATGCACTAATTCATTCATAGCCAGGGGCGGACTGACCATTTGGAAACTCAGGCACTGCCCGAGGGCCTGGGGTCAGTAGGGGGCACCATGAGATGCCCCTGGTACCTTTTTCATAGGCTTTTTTGAGTTTGGGCAAGGCCACAGGGCCCCATGATCCCCTATTGCCCGGGGGCCCCATGAGTTGTCAGTCCACTCCTGTTCATAGCCCTCAGCTCACCCCATCAGTCTCCTCGCGCATCACTAATTTACTAACAGACATATCAGTATGGATGGCACAACACTTTCTCAAACTCAATCTTTTCAAAACTGAGCTTATAATAAATGACCCCCCCCTCCCCTCACCCATGCTCCCTCCCCTAACTTCACCATCAAGATCAAGGGCGCAACTGTTATGCCCTCCCCGCATGTTAAGGTGCTAGGGTGTAATCCTAGATGCTAAACTCTTCTTTCGGCCCCACATCCAATCACTGTCCAAATCTTGTTGCCTAAACCTTCGCAACATCTTCAAAATTTGTCCTTTTTTACCAACGACAGCAAAAGCACCACTTCCTGATTATATGTTGACTTGACTCTTGCAACTCCCTCCTCATTGACTTACCTTTACATAGGCTATTTCCCCTATAGCCTATGTTACTCCTCTCTGCTAATTCCCTCCACTGGCTTTAACTCATTCAAAAAATTAAATTCTAAATACTAAGAACAACCTACAAAGCCATCCACAACTCTATCCCAGCTACATCAAAAACCCTGTCTCATAATATTATTATTATTATGATACAGTATTTATAAAGCACCAATGGTTCGCTCAGCGCTGTACATTACAAAGGGGGGACAGAACATGTGACAGAACAATAACCAATACAATGCAAAACATGAGGGGATCGAGGGCCCTGCTCTTTCGAGCTTACAATCTAGGAGGGAGGGGATAGTGGTACAGGAGGAGATAGCTGTGGGGGATGGAGTGGTAGGAAGAGTGGAGGAGGTCGGCAAGTTAGCAGGGGGTGGGGTAGGCTTCCCTGAAGAGATGGGTTATCAGGGTGCGCCTAAAGGAGAGGAGAGTAGGTGATAATCTGATGGGTTGGGGCAGGGAGTTCCAGAGGATGGGTGACACCCTAGAGAAGTCCTGGAGGCGGGCATGGGAGGAGGAGACCAGGGAACTAGAGAGAAGGAGGTCTTGTGAGGAGCGGAGTGTGCGTGCTGGGCGGTACTTGGTAGACAGCTTTGTACGTCAGTGTTAGGATTTTGAATTTGATCCGTTGCGCAATCGGAAGCTAGTGGAGGGATTGGCAGAGGGGGGTGGCGGAGATTGAGCGGTTGGAAAGGTGAATGAGTCTGGCAGCCGTATTCAGGATCGACTGAAGCGGGGATAGCCAGCGGCGAGGCAGGCCAGTGAGGAGGGAGTTGCAGTAGTCGAGTCGTGATATGATGAGGGAGTGGATGAGCTGTTTAGTGGTTTCTGGGGTTAGGAATGTGCGTATTTTGGCGATGTTGCAGAAGTGGAGTCTGCACGAGTTTGTTAAAGATTGGACTTGGGGCTGGAAGGATAGGTTGGAGTCCAGAATGACACCAAGTACTCTGGCCTGCGGGGCGGGTTTGATGGTGGTGTTGTTGGATGTGACGGAGAAGTCAATGGGGGGTGGTGTCCGGGCTGGGGGGAAGACAAGAAACTCGGTTTTGGAGAGGTTCAGTTTAAGGAAGTGGAGCGACATCCAGTCTGAGACCGAGGGGGTGAGGTGGGAGGTTGAGAGATAGATTTGTGTGTCGTCGGCATAGACGTGGTAGTTGAAGCCATGAGAGTGTATGAGTTGGCCAAGGGAGGAGGTGTAGATGGAGAAGAGAAGGGGCCCGAGGACAGAGCCTTGAGGGACCCCAACAGAGAGGGGGAGTGAGGGGGAGGTGGTAGCATTATAGGTAATGCTGAAAGATCGTTGTGACAGGTAGGATGAGAGCCAGGAGAGAGCAGAATCTCTGAGGCCGAGGGAGTGTAGTTTTTTGAGGAGGAGGGGGTGGTCCACTGTGTCGAAGGCCGCAGAGAGGTCAAGGAGTAAGAGCACTGAATAGTGGCCATTAGCTTTGGTGGTTTGCAGGTCGTTGGAGAGTTTGAGTAAGGCAGTTTCGGTGGAGTGTAGGGGACAGAAGCCGGACTGTAGGGGATGGAGGAGGTTGTTGTCGTTGAGGTGAGAGCTTAGGCAGGTGTAGACTAGGCGCTCGAGGAGTTTAGATGTAAATGGGAGCAGGGAGATGGGTCTGAGGTTGTTCGGGTCATTGGGGTCCAGGGAGGGCTTTTTAATAATATCATAATAATAATATCAACCAAACCATTCTCTTTGCTCCTCCCATGATCTCCTGATGTCTAGTTCTCTTGTCACCGCCTTCCATCACCTCCAAGACTATTCCAAAGCCTCTCCCATCTGTCCAATTATCTCCTACCAGGGGTGGACTGACAACTCATGGGGCCCCCGGGCAATAGGGGATCATGGGGCCCCTGTGTCCTTGCCCAAACTCAAAAAAGCCTATGAAAAAGGTACCAGGGGCATCTCATGGGGCCAGCTACTGACCCCGGGCCCTCAGGCAGTGCCCGAGTTTCCAAATGGTCAGTCCACCCCTGTCTCCTACTCTATCTGCCTTTAGGCTATCCCTGAAATCCCATCTCTTCAGAGAGGCCTATCCTGCCTTTGACTAATAAGCTGTACTTTTAATTTCTCCATAATTCCACAGCTATTTATTGCTTTTTGTATAACTTGACCCTTTCTTTTAGATTGTAAGCTCTAATGAGTGGAGACCTCTGATCCCTCTTGTATTTAATTGTATTTTAACTATACTGTCTCTCTCCATTTGATAAATCACTGTTTGTGCTATATACCAACAAATCTTCTAAATAATCGAATATAATAAATAATAATAACCATAAATGGTTTTTACTTTACATGGGCCATGCTTGTGTGTACACTGTCTTCATCTATCACAGTTAAGGTACTTTTTTGCTGGTTGATTAGAAATAATATTTATAATGTATATGCAATGTCCAATGCTATAATTTTAATGGTTTTCTTGATTTCATAAAAAAAAAATCAACAGTCTTTATTTGGGTTTGTCCTTGATTTGTTTTTTACCATGATCCTTTGCACAGCTGTAATTGGATGAAATGTACAAGTTTAATAAGTTGCCTGTAGTTTCATCACGCTCTTCCACGATATAATTCATCTTGCCAAGCGGTCCAATTGTGTTTGAATTACCTATATGAGCATAGACGCTGTCCAGGTTATCCCTCGTGCTTTGAGCTAATTTGTATTCAAAGACTGCTTTTACATCTGTTCTTCAATATTTGCATTTACTGCTAGCCTCTCGATTGCTTTAAAGGCCAAATGTGTTTTGACTCATTTTAGTCTCTTTTTAAAAAATATTTTTTTTCTGTACGTAGTTACAGCTGAGCATAAAGCATGTCATTTTGAGAAGGCAATTTTGCAATCCCCTTTTGATTCTTATACAGGGAAAAAATATGCAGTTAATTTTAAAGTGGCTCTATAGTAAAAAAAACACCCTACCCTGTCATTTCAATTCTCTGTAATTCATAGATATTAAAAGAAAGTCTGTACAGAGATCACATAATTAATGCCTAGGCATGGACAGGACCAACCACAGTGGGTGTTTGGCTATGAATAGTGTTTTTTGCAGGACAAGTAAATACCTGGGATCGCTTTTTAGCATTTCTGAATTTAAAACGGTTGTAAAAGCATTTTTTTTTCTCTAAATAAAAAAGGTTTATACTTACCTGCTCTGTGCAATAGTATTTGCACAGAGCAGTCCCTTAGTCTAGGTTCACACCTATGTGTTTTCTGCTGCGTTTTGCAGAAACGCAGAGCAGTCCATTTAACATGATTTCCTATGGGGAAGTTTCACATCTCCATGTTTTCACCTGGTGCGTTTTTTGGAAAGGGTCAGGGACTTTTTTAAACGCAAAACTTTGCATTTTTAGTTCTATAGGCTTCAATGGAGATGCTGCAGAAAAGCATGTAGTGTGTTTTTGTTGTATTTTTGGTTCGTTTTTGATGCATTTTGCGTTTTATTCTGCCAGGCAACAAATTGAAAAAAAAAAACGCAAAACGCATCAGAAACATAACAAATGCAAGTGCATAAAGCACTGCAGAAACGGATCAAACGCTAACTGCATAGGTGTAAACCTAGCCTTACCCCCTCTTCTAGCAATGGGGGCACACATGCGGGCGCTCTCGAAGCCAGGCTGTGTGTGTCCATAAATACACATAACGCAGCTCGCCCCTGCTAGATCGAGAAATGGCTCAGGTGTTTGTCCTCCAGGACTTCTCCCGAGCCTCTCTCACATCCTATGGAACTCCCTACCTCAATCTGTCCGACTATGGCTACTCAATCTACTTTTTGATGATCCCTGACAACCTTTCTCTTCAGAGAGGCCTATCCTACACCCAATAACTGTACTTTTACACCTCACCGACAACAACCTCCTTGATCCCCTACAACCTGGCTTCCGTCCCCTACACTCTACTGAAACCGCCCTACTCACCAACGACCTGCTAAGCGCCAAAGTCAATGGCCACTACTCAGTGCTACTACTCCTCGACCTCTCCGTGGCTTTCGACATGGTCAACCACCCCCTCCTCCTCAAAAAACAATACTCTTTTGGCCTCAGAGACTTTGCTCTCTCCTGGCTCTCTTCCTATCTATCTCAATGCTCCTTCAATGTTACCTATAACGCTGCCACCTCCCCCTCACTCCCCCTCCCTGTTGGGGTCCCCCAAGGCTCTGTACTCGGGCCCCTTCTCTTCTCCATCTACACCTCCTCCCTTGGTCAACTGATACACTCCCACGGCTTCAACTACCATCTCTATGCCGATGACACTCAAATCTATCTCTCTACCCCTCGCCTCACTCCTTCAGTCTCCGCCAGAATCAACAGCCTTCAGAACGACATATCAGACTGGATGTCACTCCACTTCCTCAAATTAAACCTTGTCAAAACCGAACTCCTAGTTTTCCCCCCAGCCCGCAGTGTCATTCTAGACTCCAATCTGTCTTTCCAGCCCTAGATCCAATCGCTGACAAATTGATGCAGACTCCACCTCTGCAACATCTCCAAAATACGCACGTTCCTAACTCCATAAAGTACAAAGCAACTCATTCACTCCCTTATCATATCCCAACTTGACTACTGTAACTACCTCCTCGCTGGCCTACCCCAACACAAGCTATCCCCGCTTCAATCTATCCTGAATTCTGCGGCAGACTCATCCCCCTTACCAACCGCTCCGTATCCGCCACCCCCTTCTGCCAATCGCTCCACTGGCTTCTGATTGCCCAACGCATAAAATTCAAAATATTAACATTGACGTACAAGGCTGTTCATAACACTGCCCCTAACTACATCACCAACCTGATATCCATCTACCACCCAAAACGCACTCTCTGCTCCTCACAAGACTTCCTACTCTCTAGTTCCCTGGTCTCCTTCTCCCATGCCCATCTCCAGGACTTCTCCAGGGCTTCCCCCATCCTCTGGAACTCACTACCCCAATCCATCAGACTGTCACCTTCCCTCCTCACCTTTAGGCGCACCCTGAAAACCCATCTCTTCAGAGAAGCCTACCCCGCCCTCACCTAATTGCTGATCTCCTCCGCTCTTCCCACCACTCCATCCCCCACAGCTATTTCCTCCTGTACCACTCTCCCCTCCCTCCTAGATTGTAAGCTCCAAGGAGCAGGGCCCTCGAACCCCATGTGTATTGTATTGTTACTGTACTGTCTCCCATTATAATGTACAGCGCTGAGCAAACCATTGGCGCTATATAAATTATGTAAATACTGTAAAATAATAATAATAACATGATCTGTTGGCAGTTTTTGGCAGCTGAAGTCATATACAGATCTCAACTTTTCCCTTCCACATTGTGAGCCTCCTAGTACTGTAATGTGATGGATGACCTCGATGATCAACAGCAAACCTTGAAATGTGGGACTGATCTGGGCTAGGCTCAACATTTACAGAAAAGAATATACATTTAGCTGCCTATAACTCTTGATCTACCAACTATTTGACATGCTGTTTTCACTAAAGGTAAACCTTTTTATCATATTATATAATATCATATCATTACTTTGAATTGTCCAGGTTTGAGATAGGTTTACTTAAAATCAGAATTTGGTCTATACAACACTATACAACACTAGCTAGATGGATTTCATGTGACTGCTTTATCACTTCTGTGGAATAATCAAGGTAAGTTACAATGTAGTAGATGCTTTAGTACACCAATCCAAAGCAATGTGTTTTCATTGTTGGTTAATGCAGATCTTTTTTATTATTAATACTCACTGGGTCAATGTATTTGTGTTATACTCTAGTATTTGTGTTTGAGTACTTAGAATATTTAAAGTTTTGGTATTTGTGTTATATAGAGACTTGGCCATGTCCAAAAATAGGATATAATGCTTTCAAATACAATTATTCATTTGTAACTTAAAGTGGTTGTAAATGTAAAAGGTTTTTTTTTTTAATCTTAATGCATTCTCTGCATTACAGTAAAAAAACTTTCAATGTCGGCTTCCCCCAGCCCCCTCCAATACGTACTTGAGCCCGATCTCAATCCAGCACTATGAACAAAACCATTGCACAGAGCAGCTAAGTATGAAATATGATAGTTATTTTAGAACAATAAATATTCATCTTTAGAATCACTTTCAGGAACATGACAACGTCATTGATGATGAAATCCGTAGGGTGGAATTGGAGCGTATGACGTCATCACACACCGGAGCGTGGTGGCCATCTTGTTGGTTGGAAACAAACTGCCAATGGATATGGTGACATGTTGTTTTTTTTATAATTTATGATGTACGTGGTTTACTGCATTAGAGGCATTAAAAAATTCTCAAAATACTACACTATGAGGATTCCTCTCTGTTTTTGAATCGGATTATCATCTGTGAGGATAATATTTATTCTAGGTCCATCTCAAAGTTACTTTGCATTGAAGACCAGGAGTCCAAAAGTTCACAAATTCATTGTTCGCTTCTGGGAAGCACACAGCGTTTATTGACCTTTTCCTTAATTGGGGGTCAATATTATCTGGTAAGAAGCAGTGTGATTGGTGCTGGTGATGGAGTTTTTTTCCTCTTGGTGACTTCTTGGAAATCTATAGGATTGCTATTGGGCCCTTGATTGATTCCGTGTTTCAAATCTTTTGGATTGGACTCTGATTGTCTATATTTATTGTTTTTGGAAGTTTAATTTAGCGCTGAACTTTTTTATTTATTTATTTTACTTTGTATTCTAACCTGCAATATTGTGTTTGTTGCTTTTGTGGATTATATCCACTCAAATTATTTAGATCATAGTGCAATTTAATCCATGAGCTATCAGAGGTATTATTAGTCCCATATACATATGTTTAGGGAATTGCGTGTACAGTTATAGTGCCTCTTGGGATGGAAGGACACAGTGTGTATACTGTCCATCAATAAACTCGCAGAATGTTTGTGATGTAATTGGGGTGTGGCCTGTTCTTCTGCAGTTTTATTTTTCTAGTTTTGGCTAGAGTAGGAAAACTTTAGACCCTGT